CTGTACAAGAAATAAGAAATGTGGTAACTTCTCACACCTAAAGTACATGCAGAACAAAAGCTCACTGGAGCAGCTTCTCCTAAGTACTAGTTAATAGCATCTAATACACAACTTTTCTCCTGGCTAAGGCCCCTTCATTGCATGGCAATAAAAGTGTCAGAAAAAGAGAATTCTGTTTAACCAAACATTAACCAACAATTACTTTGAAGAAATAATCTAAAACACTTCCATAATTATAAAATTACATGCTTTACTCTGGTAAAACATAATCAAGAAATACAGCAAGCCACATTATGACTGAAGCTTCTGGATTTTCTTTAGTATTTGAAAAAAAAAATTAAAAAGCGGTTTTCATTTTCTCAAGATAATTTGTGCTTCTGCGCATCCCATACAAAAGCAATTAACAGATTTCTTGACCTTCATGTAGCAGAAAAATTAGAACTGCAGTTTGAGCAATGGTTTGGTTGTGAGTATCTCTACAGTGTCATGATAAAATCTTGGCAAAGCATTAAGAAAAACCCTACTTTGTGGAATGTGCCTGACTGCACAGAACATATACATTTTGCTTTTTCATAATATACTGCAATACTACTTACATTTCGCTACTCATGCACACTCTAGCAGTCACAATAGGTCAGATGCGACTGCCCTTGATACAGAAAACAGAACACATTGTAGTTTCAAGGTCATATATTAATCTTAAAAACAGAGCAGCATTTATACAAGTCATAGAAAAATCGTATTAGCTACACAACTGTCTCTCTGATATTAAAACCAAGTAATACTATTTTTAAAACGTTTTATTTGAGGAGATTGCTTACACAGAGTTGAAAACATCACACCTCTTTACAAAATTAAACCTAGATGAAGAGCTGACATGCTTTTTAAAATTTTGAATTCTAGCCCTAATAATTAAGAACACAAACAACAAAGTTACAGGAGCATTTACTAAAGGCAGGAAAAAGCACCAGGTCTCTTTTGTTCAATGTTTTCAAAGAGCAACACAGCCCTCTAGTGGAAAAACTAGAAAGTATGACTTTATTCGTACAAGAAGCATGCGAGGGAAGTATTTTCTGTGTCACCTAAATGATGCTGAGACATTTAAAACAGAAAAACAACGCACACACAAAGTTGCACACTATCTTTACTTCCTCACAGCGGAGTAAGTCTCACCGACTTTACAGGAAGAAACTGGCAATTTCACTGCTCATGTTTAAATGAACATAGAACAGCAAGTTTTTAAAACCAGAAAGATTGACGCAAGGCCAAACTGTTCAGTGAGACTTTTTACTGCACCAGCACTACTGTGACCAAAAGTTACCTCAACTTCTAACGTGACACTTACACTAACATTCTGATAGAGCTTAAAAAATAGATGAGAAAAAAAACAAATAGTAACTAATAACTAAGAAAAACTAATAACAGACTGCACTGTCAGAAAAAAAACCTTCCAAAACAAAAAAATAAGCAAACATTTTACGAATAACTCTTGATCTGCTACAATTTCTTTATATTGTAAGAACAGAATAATTCATTAACCTTTCCTAAGTTGTTAATAAAAGCTAATTAAGTATTTATCATTCTAATTTTTCAGTACATTTTTTCCCCCACGCACTTTTTGCAGCAATTTTAAGGACTAAATTAAGCAAGACGGTATGTAATCTAGGAAATTCTTACAGTTCATATTCCTAATCAGTAATGAAAAGAGGAACCGCAGAGCAGGCAGTCTCCCCATTTTACAGGCATGTTAAGAGAAGTTAATGGCAACGAAGTAACATTTGGGAACTCAGTACCTGGGATAACACTAAAACTCTACCACTGCTGAAGTCATCCAAAGTATTCCCTCAGTAACTAAGGAAGCATCTCTGTTCTTCAGAACTTTAGATGATCTTTCAACTATAAGAAAAAAATAGATGTTCCTGGGAAGCTACATTGGATTCCCTGTATCAGATTCACAAATAAAGTGAATTAACATATCATTCCATCTTTGTTGATCTGTTTTTAACTTCGCCATCTTGAAGTGGTGTTTATGGATGAATAAAAAAAATAACTTCTATGTTCATCCACCTTTCAAAGGATTCTCAGCATTTTCCAAACTTTATCTTGAGCATCAGCAATGCAGTAGTTGAGAATGCACTCTTCTGCATTTTGATTGACTGTAGTTTACCAATTTAAACCTTGATCTTTGTTCTGTGCATGTTGAAATGAAAAATTTCTAACAAATGCACAGATACCACAAAGTTAGTTTCAAATATACCATTGAAACTAATTTTGCCAACAATGAAAAGGTTGAGTGGGTTTTTTTTCTTACATTATTAGCTACAAACACTTAACAAGTAATATATTCTTTTTTCAATCACTTTCTACTTAATGGACAACAATATTTCATTGGAAATATTTACACTTACCTCAAAGAAAGCATGTTAGCATTCTGAAAACATATTAACCATTTACACCTCAAAATACTCAAGGAGGGAAATATTAGCTCCAAAATACAGAGAGAGCTTAAAGGGAGTATTTACAACAAAGTGCGGCGCAGCACTGAAAGCCTAAAATTATTGCAGAATAAGTTCCAAAACTGGTAAGACTCTGCTTGAGCTAGCTAATTAGGAGTCCCAAAGACTTGTGTAGACATATTAAAGTTCACAGCGATCTCTACATTGCAATCCATTAGGTGACACTGACACGTTCAAAGCAGTTTGCCAAGAGTCACAAAGCACAGCTAAGAGTTAAGCTGAGACTGATACATTTTAAAGAGTCAGACAACAGAGCTTCAAGAAAACTTCAAATTCTGCCAAGCACTTCCAAGTTAATTGGACAAGAAGACTATTAGCCAACCCTAAGGGGGGAGTGTTCCGTTCACACAATACCAAGGAGATTGAACCTTGTTTTTCTCCATCAAACAGATCAATCAAAAGTGACAACCAGCACAAGCCCAGCTCAGATTATATCCTGTCTCAGAAGCCCTTAGAGCTAAGAAAAAAAACAGAGATTATATAAGAAGTGTAAACCCTAAAACTGCTTTCTACTTAATCTATGCTCTATGGCAACTGGTAAATAGTATCAGACACAAAGCCTAGGACTATAGCAATAGTAAATGCAACATGGTATGCAAGAGTTTTAAGTTATATAGGCCATGACACCACCTTAATCGCGTATTTTCTACACCACCTTCCTAGTTTTGTACTCCATATGTCCTAACCTCATACAGCAGCACAAGCCCAAGGCTTATTTCACTAATGCTCCCACTCTTCCTGATAGGCTTCTGATCAGCAGTGATATCCTCCCCTCACCTACTAATAGAAATCAAGAAAATATATACATGTATGTGTATATATACACCTGTGTATATGTCACAAGCAAAGATCTGGTTCAAGAACATGCTCGCTTTACTTGTGATCAATCCAGATCATAAACCAAGGGAGAAACAGGGAAAAAAAGCCTTGACAAAAGCATCATACATCTTGGATTAATCTTTTGCCATATGTGAAACACTTTCAGCTCATTCAGCAAGTCTGAATGGCAGCTCTTCTCCTGCCGAAGGCAAATCATTCGAGTCCAGGTAATTCTTAGTGTTCTGAGACTGCACAGTTGCATACAAAGAAAATTCTACTGCTGGATGCAATGCAAAGACATGCTGTACCAAGAACACGGAACGTAAACCTTACTAGAAAACACAAATTCCTCATTCAGACAGATGAGCACAACACTTGCTGCCCTAACTGCAGCACCAATCTGTAGTAGCATATTATGAAATGACAGCAGAACATGTGCTGTTAATGCCTACATCGCAAGCTACAATAAAGCTCTAAATTCGTCATCTGACTCCTGTGAGATAACATTTCCTTAAATAATCAAGGAGTAAAGACCACGAGAATTCAGAGCACTAAATTGTGCTATTAACCCATTTTCCAGAACTCCTCCAAGGTTTTCCAATGTCCTCATAAATGCATTTAAGTCAAGATTCTGCACTTTAAAAAGACACCAAATAATTTGCATAAGGACTCTTTCCATATCAATGTAATCCCACCACAAAGAAAAACACAAACCACAGAAGGGAACAAAAAGTTAAAAGATAAAAGTTATCTAGGATTTAGGTAGATCCCCTCATTTACCAAAAAAGTTCAAATTAACACCAAATCACACAAGTGTTTTAATATTTGTGGCTTACAAATTTAGGTCATAGAAAAAGACATATCCTGTGCAGGTTGCTGAATGAAACTTCCAACAGCTTAGAAAATTAAGTTGGAGAAGAAATCCTGTCTGCTGAGAAGAAAGGCAAAGCCTCTAAACACCAAATCTTCATTATAAAAATAAACCAAAAGCAGCTAATTAGAATCTCTCAAATACTCACCTGCTATACAAGCAACACTACGTAACAGATATCTGAACAAGCTAACTGCCTAAAAGAATTTATGAAACTGCTAGAAAATACAACTAACAGGGATTTCCAAAAGTCATAAGCATTTTTTTTTTTTTACCCCAAAGGAGCATCAAATATGACATTCTGACACAAGTTCCTCATCAAGTTGATTTGAAAACACCTTCAGAGGTAAAAATTCCATAGCCTCCTTGGAAAAATCTTTAGCTGAGTCTCCTTGCAGCTGTTAGAAAGCTTTCTGAATACTTTATCTGAACTCTCCTGCAGCCACATTGCCCTTACTCTTTGTCCATGCCACCAAGACCTAAAAAGAAACTTTTCTTCCCTTTCGGTCACCCTTTATTTACGTAATGTAAAAATCTCCATCAATATTTTTCTAGACAAAAATTAATTGTTTCAGAACTTTGTGTCTTTCCTGTAGCTCTCCTCTAAGCTCCAAATTCTCCACACTTTCTTAAAAAGCAGTACACAAATATGAACAAACTTTTTTAACTAGAGGTTTTATCCAGAAATATCACAAACCAGGTCTGAACACCAGAAGCATGCAGATATGTAAACAACAAAGTAGCCGGTGAGATAAAGGTTGCCATATTTTACCTTACATGTAATATTGACCTACCTATTCCTGAATTCGCCCCCGTGATTATAACCACTTTCCCACTCAAGTCACGACCCTGGAGTATTTCCATTGCAGTACTGTTTCCATCATACTTCTGTCTGGTAGTAGGTTTTACTGGATTATCTTCAACTGTAAAGGCCAGTCGTGGATCAAGGTAGGTAGTCCTTTTGTTTATGTGGCTGCAAAAGAACACAAAAATTCAACAGCTTAGACCCTTCTGCACTCTGCATTGAGATTTTAAATGTATTTCAACTACTGTTGTCTACAATTCCAGTGGATTATTTAAATTAAAAAAAAACAAATTTTTTTTTCAGTTCTTTTAAAATGATCCAAATTACTTTTTTTATCGAGTATTTTTCCAGTTGTGACAGCTTCCATTAATAATTGTACTCACATACTTCCCAATGCCATTCTGAACTTCATGTGAAACCATGACATAGAAAGTAGAATTTTGTGAAAGGAAAAATCCCATTATATTAGAGAAGATCATTTTCTCTTAGGAGCTCAGTAAAAGGGGCCTACACTACTCCCTTGAAACAATGCATTAATGAGAAACGTATTTCAGAACTTTTTTCTCAAACAACTGAAAACAAAAAACTTCTCATCAGCTCAGCAAATGGCATAATTTGAGTCAGGCTCACCTTTCTAAAACCGAGTTTTAATTTTCTTCTTTCTTTCTTTTTTATTAGAAAGAGACACTAAGCAACAACTTTCAGTCTTCAGCCCTCAATCGTAGGACAGAGAGGCTACACTTAACTATTTTGGCCTGTGAACAGTCTTCATTCTGCCAAGTCAGCTGAAGGTAACTCCCTCATTTTGACCCTGCCATTGAAAAGATACTAAAGGAAACGCTCCCAGAAATCTCCTTCTGCTTCTGCGAACTTCCTCCTCCCTTACTTTTCTAAAAATCTTTGGTAGCTAAACCTCTGTCCTCTTTTCTTTCTGTGCTTTACCTTGCAAGTCAGAACTGCAGCAATTTTGTTTTCATCTTGTATGTTTAAAGCACTACTGCAGCGTTAACAATCAGCCATGAAGTTCTGGATATGTTTCTAACACCGTATGTACAGGTTTTATCCATACAGGCATTCAAACAAAACGAGTCTACATAAACGCGGCCTGAGGGTCCGCTCACAGTTTGAGGTGGACATGCAAGTCACTGCAATCTGCCACCCAAGCTAGTATTTCTGTGCACATGGAAGAATTCAGGAAACTACAAATGGATGTTTAGACACTGCTAAAACTGTAATATCCGCATACGGATTCTGAAGTTGTACTTACTAATTTCTTTGTCTTTCCAGCTGATATGGTCACAATATCATAACTCAAAAAGGCTACTCAACGTGAAACACAACCGTCCTACGTATCCATATTCTATACTTTGACATACTTACTCTACGAAATACACTTGTCCATTTTCATCAGTCTCCTGTTCCCATCCATATGGCAGACCTGGGAAACACATAACACATTATCTTTTTTCAAGCATTAGAGTACACTCAGATTTGAAATTTAAGCAATTCCTCAGACAGATGTGGCAAAATTCTTCATTATTCCTGTAGGTAATGCAGCTACCTGCTGCACTTGAATATGGGAACTTGAAAGGAAGATTGCTTCCCTAATCGCGTGCAACCGCTCTCTAATAAAAGTACAATATACAGGAGATCTGGTACAATTGTAATGACTGGTATATTCAGTATAAAGATAATCTTTATAAAGAATTTTTAGATTCTTTCATGTTATAGTACAAACCGGCAAAACGCAATCGTGCTTCCTGGTACATACATGTGTCTATACTGCACACAGCTTAGTATCTATCTCTGGTGAAGTAAGGAGCTAAAACATTGAACTAAATGTAGGAAAAGTTACATGTAACACGTACCAAAAGCTGGAAGATCACAGCCCCCAAGTGGGTATGGGATATGTTAAACTGAACCTAAACGATTCTGTGAAGTCGGAAGGTCAGATAAAAGAACGAAAATGACAAATCTTTACAAAATAAATTCTTATACAAAGGACCCTACAGAAGTATTTAACAGACAGCGCTCCCAGCATTTCTAATCCTGGCTGAAAAGCATTCAATTATAATTAAATTGTCTCAAAATCTACTGAAGACATTCCAGTTACAGTCACATTACCAATGCCAAAAGCAGTAAGGCTTGCTGACAGTATAGTACCCCTTGGTATGCCGTACAGAAGCTTCTGGGAAGATATAATTTAAGGCATTAACACAAGATCCTTAACAAATCATATACCTTTGTAAGTGTCCTGCTACATTGGCTGTCTTCTGCTCAGCACAAACATTCAATTGGGTTAGGGAAAATAAGTAAAATGAAAACTAATGGGACTTCCTTCTGTGCCAAGGATATTCTTTGAAGAATATGATCTAACTATAAATACTATCTGATGGACACCAAGATATCAGAACTCAATCAGAGAAATCCAGCCTTTTGCTATATGCTTTACAAGCCACAGTATAACAATCCCTTCATCCTGGAATGAATACTTTGGTTTTATGGAGCCACACAAGAAAGCCATAAAACTGCAAAATGATCACTTACACAGACGCAATCACATAGGTAAAATCCCACTGCAATCAGCTGTATTTTGCAAGCTCAGTTGGCCTGGGTGATTAGTGTCAACTAGAAGATCAAAATGAGACCTAGTTCCTGCACAAACTCCAACTGATATTTGTAACAATTTCAGTTCACTACAAAAGCTTAACACAAACCTCCTGCAACACGTTTCCTCTTCCCAGACTTAGGATGTTCCC